CAAGAAAAAATCTTGACATTAACAAAAGATAATTGAAATTTTTAGCAAAGGAAACCCATAAAGACAATGGTTATGTATTCAGGAATGAATACTATGCTCAAAGTTTAATTGAATAATTAAAGGATATTTTAAAGTAATTTGTATTCTGTAGATGAATATGTGATTAAGATGCCGACAAGACTACGGTCCAGGAATATATATAATTCAGCAAATGTGAAAGAATAGCTTATAGTCCAGATAATAGGCTAGCCTACAGCCCAGACTATAGTTCAGAACATACTCTAGAGTATATACTGGACTATAGTCCAGACTATAGATTAGACTATACTCCAACCTATAACTAGACTATAGTCAAGACTATAGACTAGACTATAGTCCAGACTATAGACTAGACTATAGTCCAGTCTATAGACTAGACTATAGTCCAGTCTATAAACCAGACTAGATTCCAGTATATAGTCTGGTCTATATAGACTATGGACTATAGACTAAACAGACTATAGACTAGACTATAGTCCAAACCATAGATTAATTCTATAGTCTATACTATATTCTAAACTATATATTTAACTATAGTCTAGACTATGTACTGTATCAAAGTCCAGAATTTATGAAAGACTATAGACTACACTATGGCCCAGACTATAGACTAAACTATAGTCCAGACTGTAAACAAGACTATGCTGCACAAAACACCCAAAATAGGGTCGCTTAAAATAAAAAAAGTTCAAGACTATAGTTCAGACCATACTCCAGAGACTATAGTCCAGACTATAGACTAGACTATAATCCAGTCTATACATCAGACTATAGACTAGACTATACTCCAGACTAGATTATTATAGTATATAGTCTGGTCTATATAGACTAGTCCGTAGCCCAGACTATAGACTAGACTATAGTCTAGACTATATTCTAAACTATATAGTGGACTATAGTCTAGACTATATACTGTATTATAGTCCAGAATTTATGAAAGACTACACTATAGACCACACTATAGCCCAGACTATAGACTAAACTATAGTCCAGACTATAGACTAGACTATAGTCCAGACTATAGTTTAGACTGTAGACTAGATTATAGTCCACTCTGTAGTCGCAGTGCTTAGGGCTCTCTCTCTAATCTAATAGACTATAGACTAAACTATAGTCCTGACTATAGACTAGACTAGACTATAGTCCAGAATATAGGCTAGATTATAGTCCAGACTATAGACTACACTATAGTCCAGACTATAGACTAGACTATAATCCTGACTATAGACTAGACTATAGTCTAAAATATAGGCTAGACTATAGTCCATACTATAGACTAGACTATAGTCCATATAGACTATAAGCTAGACTCTAGACAAAAGCTATAGCCAAACAAGAATGATAAATAGTTGGGAAAAAATTGTCTTTTTAAAAAATTATTTATAAATTAACTTTTCTCTAGAGTTAAAGCAACAATTCAACAATTTTCTTTAATTAAAGGTAGTGGCATTTTGTGAAAATTAATATTTAATAAAGATTTTTTCACATCTTATCTTCCTGCCCAATGTGCTCACATATCCTTTTTTTATACATTAAGGAAACATAAAGCTTATTGTTCAATTTAACACAAGCTAGTAAGGAAAAAAACCTATAAATTTGTTAATATTAATCGTAATTTTTTATTACATTCTTAAAGAAAGCAAAAGAAACAAATCAAAGTATGGCAAAAGGAAATCACAAACAGTAAAGTAATGAAAGGAAATCAATGCAAACAGAAAAAAAAAAACTAAAATAATAAAGAAGAAAAAAAAATAATATCCTAGAACACACATCCGTAAAGAAAACTACTAAAAAACTAAAGGGGCGTTGAAATGTTATGACAAAATGTTACATTAATAGAAAAGAGATTTTACGTTTAGCAGCTGAAATGAATAAATATTTTTTAACTATAAAAGTGTGTTTGCTACAAAAATAAATACAATGCCAAGATTTATTAGAGTAAAACAAAAATTTTATGGTTTTTTACAAATATTAATAACTCGAAAGCCAGAAAAGTGGTTACATTGTAAAATCATTTTACGTTTCTTATTTTTTTGATGGGTTGTTAGGTTATGGTGGTTGGCTTAAGCAGCAGAAAAAAAGAAATCATAAAAAATGAAAAACTAATAAAATCTATCATTCAGATAAAAGTGACAACACATGCAAAACTACTACTACTGTTACAAACATAACATTTTGCTACTGTTTTTTCTTAAGGAAAGGTGTGTCTTGGGCTAGAGTTTTCCTTTTTTTAATACATTTTTTAATGTTTTATTACAGTTATTGCTTTGTTTTGAGTTGTTGCAATAAAAAGCCATAAAAACTAAAAAAGGAAACAAACTTAAAAAAAATTGTTCACTCAAAATTTATTACATTAATTTTTTCTCATAGCTGTATATCCTTACAACTTGCAGTTATACTTAGCTATTTTCTTTTTTCTTATATTTTAACCATAAAAAATTGCAATCATCAGTGTTGTGACATTTTGTTATTATCCTTTATTTTTTATTCCTGTCATTTTCCAAAAAAAGAGCAACGTAAACATTATATTGTGCAGTTATTTTGTATTCGTGTGAAATTATGATAAATATTGTTGCTGCCTTTAAACTACAGGATTGTATTGTGCATCATTTTAAAAGCCATGTGTTTTATGTCCTAAATGATTGTCGCTCTTACGTAAAAGTTTGCAAAAAAATTGCAAAGAAAAAATATTTTTTATAAAAGAAAAATTTTCGCTCGGAAAAGATAATAAAATTAAAAGTGCAAGGCAACTTAATGTCCTTTTTTTGTAATTAAATTAGCGGTTTTTATTAGCTGAAATAAAAACAGCAAAATGGACTTGAACGAATTTTAAAAAATGTTCATGGTAAGAACATATTTGTTGGTAAAAATGTTCTCACTTAAATTTACAATTAAGTTGTGGTTATACAAATCAAAATCGTAAATTTGATTTTCTTACGACATATACAATTTTATATTTTATAAGATCTAATAAAAATTGTCCTTGAAAAGTCAGTTTTTGCTCATCATTGTTAATGTCCTTTTTTTAATTATAAATTTAAAAATTTGATTTTTTTAATAAATTTGTGTGACTTTCGGTACGATAGTGGTGTTTTAATCTGTAAGATCGGAGATCGTTGCTTCGATTGTCACCTGAGGCAATGGTAAGGTAGCGCACAACAGATCTGGTGGAGGCCTAGGTGAATTTCTTCGGATTTGAGGTAACTATACATCCTTCAAGTAACTAACTACTAACTTACTGACTTCTAACGAACTACTAACACTAACTAACTAACTACTAACTAACTAACTAACTAACTAACTAACTAACTAACTAACTACTAACTACTAACTAACACTAAACTAACTAACTAACTAACTAACTAACTAACTAACTAACTAACTAACTAACTAACTAACTAACTAACTAACTAACTAACTAACTAACTAACTAACTAACTAACTAACTAACTAACTAACTAACTAACTAACTAACTAACTAACTAACTAACTAACTAACTAACTAACTAACTACTAACTAACTAACTAACTAACTAACTAACTAACTAACTAACTAACTAACTAACTAACTAACTAACTAACTAACTAACTAACTAACTAACTAACTAACTAACTAACTAACTAACTAACTAACTAACTAACTAACTAACTAACTAACTAACTAACTAACTAACTAACTAACTAACTAACTAACTAACTAACTAACTAACTACTAACTAACTAACTAACTAACTAACTAACTAACTAACTAACTAACTAACTACTAACTACTAACTAACTAACTAACTAACTAACTAACTAACTACTAACTAACTAACTAACTAACTAGCTAACTAACTAGCTACTACTATCTATCTATCTATCTATCTATCTATCTATCTATCTATCTATCTATCTATCTATCTATCTATCTATCTATCTATCTATCTATCTATCTATCTATCTAACTAACAAACTAACTAACTAATTGCATTATAACTTAGGCAACAGTGAAAAAATTGAAAAATTTTTTGCCGACGGAATTTAAAATCATAAATATACTTATTAGCACTAAAATTTAACAATAAAAGTATTTTTCTGAACAAATATTTACTAATATCCCTTTTTTCGAACATTTAAAACTTTATATCCTTTCTTTAACAGAATATTACACTGTATATTAAATACCACGATGGCATTTAACTAGTTTGATACATAATAATTGTTTATAAATATGTATATATTTATTAGATCTTGAAAATTTTTCAAAATTGTTGAGTCATTCATAAAAGAAAATATACTTCTTATGAGTGACTTTTTCGAAAAATTTAAATTTTTGAAATTTTATTTACTTACAATAAATGTCATACAAAGACATATCAGGTATTATTATGATTTTTAAAAATAAATAATTTTTAATACCTCTTGACTAATATCCTTTTTTTTAATCATAAATTTTTTCAAATATTATTTGTTTACAATAAAGGAAATTATAATGCGAATAACGCAAACCAAATTATTTTCAAAAAAAAATTAATTTCGAATCCTCTTGACTAATATCCTTTTTTGAAATTTTTTTTTTAATTTTATTAGCTTAAGTTATGGAGAATTCCAAAGTATCTACTAAGCTACTTTTACCAAATATCCTTTTTTATAAAAGAAACCTAATTTTAAAAATTTCATTTGGCTACGGAAAAAAGAAATGTTCATAAATTTAATTTAACAGAAGTTGCTTAATATCCTTTATTGATAATCAATTTTTTAAATTTTATTTGCTTGCGGTAAGTAGAATTATTCAGTAAGTAATATGGTATAAAAATTTTTCAAAACAAATTAATTTTAATGGAACTTGTCTAGTATCCTTTTTCAAAACATTATTTATTATTTGTTTGCCAACGGTAAGCAAAAGATTTCACAATATAAGTTGAAAGATATTTGTAAAAGATTTGAATGAAAAAAAGTTGTTTATTTTTTAATTAAATTTCATTTTTATTTATTTTATATAAATTTATAACAAAAATTGATACAATTTCTGCATATTGTTTGAGCTTAAAACTAAAGTAATACTTAAAAACTATATTACAAAATTTCTTTTATAAAATTTAGTTGTTTTTGTTTTAATCTTTTCTTACAAAAATTACATTTATTTAATTTTAAGTAAAATAATTTTTATATAGAAATAAAAATTTTACATAAAAAAAGGAAAAAGAAAAAACAAAACTATTTATCACAATTGCTTTGATGAGATTTAAAAAAAATAGAAATATTAAAATATTAAAAGGAAAATGAAGAAAAATACAAAATTTTGAAAAGTAATTACAAAAGAAAGAATATTAATAATAATAAAGAATTTTGTTAAATAAAGTTATAAAAAAGCGGTTTAGTTTTTAAGACAATGTATGGAGAAAAGCCCGACGGCTTTTGTTTGTGCTGATAGATGAAATTTTTAGTTATTGGTAAGTAATTTGTACTATGGCATCTTTATGGTTTGTAGATGGTATGATAAAACTCTTACTGTTTTATTTTGTTGGAGAAATTAGCGAAATTTTTTTTTTTTTTGGAAATTATTTTTTAGCGGGTTTCACTTTTTTGTTGCTGTTGTTTTTGCCGCGATTGAGTAGAGTAGGTGTGGCCTCCAAATATTGCCTTAGGGCATCATAGACCACCGAGGCCACATGACGCCAATGAGCCTCTCGCATGGCCAAAATTTGTTGCTCCTGTTGACGGGCCTTACGTAATAAGGTGGCTTGATCGGGTATATAGAATGCTACAGCCATTTTTGTTTTTTTAGTTGGTTTCAATTACACAATTTGATTTAATTGTTGGTTTTTGTAGAATGTTCTTTTAGTTTCTTTTTTTTTCAGTTTGAGAAAGTTTTATTTAAATATTTTTTTTCTTTCTTAATGATGACTCAATTAAAATTTCTTTTAATTTTTTATTTTATAAAACACGTAAAATTTAATTTCAAGAGTTCTTTGTATTTGTTTTAAGATTTTTGCTTAGGAACACAACCTGATTGTTTGTTTGCTAGATGGAAACTGATTTAAATTAACAAACCAGTACGGCTTTTATACCTCCAGCTCTCTGTTGTTATCATTTTTACGTACACGTGCTATAAATATAAAGTAATTTGCTCTCACGTTTTAATACGCTCTCTTGCTCTCTCATATTATATTTATTTTAGAAACTCTGGTCTCTCGTTTCTTGTACTACGAACATATTCGAAAATTAACTGTTTGTTGTTCGTATTTACTGTTACTGTGTGTTTGCTTGCTTGTGCATGTCTAGGCAGGGGGTTTGTTTTTATTATTTTGTTGACATCGCTCTTTCGCATCTTTTTTTGGGCTCAAAATTTTTTTATCAAAATATAGCAGAGTATTGCAAATGGCCTAGTATTTTTGTTTACTGGCTCTCAATTGTTTTTAGTTGATACTACGTAACGTATGATTATTTTGCTTTAAAAAAAGGGTGCAAAAGTTACAGGTCGTTTTCGAGAGTATCTTTCATATACGATTTCCTTTATTGTGAGTATAAACTTACTTATGTAGTAGTAAATATTTAGGACATGTTTTTTTGTATCTCTATACAATTACACCTTGTTGCTATGTTGTAATATTGTACAGTTAGATAATTTAATCCCTGTCTAAGGGAAATATATTTTATAAAAAGTCTAAAGACTTTCATGGTTAAATGTGTTCCAGTATACTATTTAAGCTTGTGTGTGTATTTGTTTTTTATTAGTATACAACAAAATCGTATAAAATATTATTTCCTTAAACATTTTTGGCGCCAAATTTTTGTTGTTGTTATAGATTGCCTTAAAAGCCTAAGGGTGGTTTTGTGTGAAGCCCAAAAAAGTTTTTTTTTCTTTAATTTCTATCCTTAGCTACTTCCTTTAGAGTCCTTGTGTGTTAGTGTAAAACAACAAATTGCTATATATTTTTATTTGATTTTATTTTTATATTATTTTGCCTTCTAATACTTTTTTTACCAGCATTTAGGCGGAGTTTTGCTTTAACAACTTTCTCTGTTTATCCTTTTGCTTTGCTATATCCCTCCTTTTCGTATTTAACAACTTCTTATACAGTGTCTCTCATAAGTATTCGAATTTAGGTAAACTATGAAAAGAAACCAAATTTAATAATATATTTTGTGTAGAAAATAAATAAATTAATTTGTTATATTGTCTAGATAGTCCTTATGTTTGATATCACGCTTTTTAAAACTTGAAAAATTTGCCTTGACTTAAATTAATTGTGCTTTTTTAAAAAAAGTCCATGAAATTGCCTCACAAAAGTATGCGAATTTTTCCTGTATTTCATATTTGATCATATTATACGATACACAAATTTTAGAATCGCATGGTTTTATGCTTAATATTGTTTTAAGGGGTTACTATCAACCGCATGGATATATTTTTGACCCATTTGGTCCACAATTTTGGGGGATTTGTACCCTCTTTTCATGTAATATCATTAAAATGGCGATTTTTGGCTATATTTGTAATGTTTTCACCCTTTTTCCAGAGATAAAACCAAAATTTAATATTGGAATGTAATAGAACCCATAAGATATCTAAAAATAATATTTTTTGTTAAAGGGTCCGTACTTAATCGTTCCAAGATGTATTTTTGGTATCGTTTTTCAGTTTCTAATTGAATTATCTGGATCATAAGTCCCTTTTCGTACCTCTAGGGACCATATTTTCCGACAAAGTTGTCTAGTGTATATTCATGTACATATTGGCACTAATGTATTTTAAATTTTCAATATATTATAGCGGTATACAACCCCAAATCATGCCTTAACAAAACGTCATCCTATATAGTAGATTTCAGTTTTTACTACTCGTAACTTTCACGCTTATGTTGCCCGTTACAATAACACTGTAAGTTCTAAATTTTGGTTTTAATTTGATCATAGTAAATAATATTTAAACACATATCAACATTTTTGATGTGATCATAATGATATCGTGCCATGCAGCATGGAGGCCATTGGTATATAAAAATAATGATTTTACTATTTTGAATGGTGCTTCTTCGAGGCATGTTTTGGAGTTGTACACTTCCACAACACATTGAAAACTTAAAATGTATAAAAGCTGATATCTAAAAGAATATATACCAGAAAACTTTCCCCGAAAATAGTTGATCCTAGTATTATAAAAATGGACTTAAGTTCCAATATATTGAATTAGCGACAGAAGAATGATCCGAATAATTTATCTTGGAACGTTTAAATACAGATTCTTGTAACAAAAATATTATTTTTAGATACCCCAAGGGGTCTTTTAAGTCCCAATATCAAATTTTTGTTTTATCTCTGGAAAAAAGGATACAAATTTACAATTATGGCCAAAAATCGCCATTTTAATGATATTACATGAAAAGAGGGTACAAATTCCCCAAAATTGTGGACCAAATAGGCCAAAAATATACCCTTTCCGTGGATAGTAACCCCTTAAAACAATATTACGCATAAAAACCATTCGATTCTAAAATTTGTGTTGCGTTTAATATGATCAAATATGAAATACAGGAAAAATTCGTATACTTTTGTGAGGCAATTTCATGGACTTTTTTTAAAAAAGCACAATTAATTTAAGTCAATGCAAATTTTTCAAGTTTTAAAAAGCGTGATATCAAACATAAGGACTATCTAGACAATATAACAAATTAATTTATTTATTTTGCACACAAAATATATTATTAAATTTGGTTTCTTTTTATAGTTTACCCAAATTCGAATAATTATGAGAGACACTGTATGTACTGGGAGTGGCTTATATTTATTCCCAAATTGTTTTTATTATTTTCCTTCTGCTGCTGTTTCCACTTTTATTCTTTTGTTGCCATATCTTATAACCTTATCGAGCATTTTTCAAACATAAAACATTATAAAAATTCTATTGTATTTCATATTCTATGGCCATGTTATTTATTTAGTTTAGTTGAGTGTTTGATTTCATTATACAATTTTTTTATACCTGCTTCAGTAGCCAGAAGTTGTATGTTCATGTCAATGATGATTCATCATTTCTGGGGTGGAGTTTCAGTTTTTATGCTATTTGAATTGTAAGAAGTTTTTGTGGTTTTTTTATGCTGCTGTTCGCCTTGTGATTTGTGAAAAATTGTATCCAAGATGGCTGTTTTGTAACTCAAGTGTTTTTTGGGAATGTTTTTTTTTTCGTTTCCTTAATTTTAAGGGTGTTTTTATGACACAGAATAGATTGATATTTGTTTAATGGCAACAAAACTTAAAGTAATTTTTATCAAAACTTATAGAAATTTCATTCAAAATTTTCTAATTCACTTCAAGCCATAAACATAAACTTCGATTATGTTTTAATGATTTAGTTTCAAATTAACCAAATCATTACAATTACTCACTTTTTGTAATTTTAAACATTTGAACTCATAGTGACCTATGACCCCCAGGGGTTCATAGGTAACTATGGGTTAATAAGGTTAATAAAACTTGACAAAAAATATTCTAGATTAATACTTTCGTATAGATAGTTTGAGTTAAATATTAGCTACAAATTAGCTACAAATTATTTGTTTAGACATTTTTGTTTATGGAGGCTCATGGTCCCCAGGGGTACCGACTAGACTATAAACTAGACAACAGACTATACTATAGACTAGACTATATACTAGACTATGGATAAAACTATTGACTAGACTATTGACTAGAATGTAGAATGTAGACTAGACTATAGACTAGACTATAGATTAGACTATAGACTAGACTATAGACTAGACTATAGACTAGACTATAGACTAGACTATAAACTAGACTATAGACTAGACTATAGACTAGACTATAGACTAGACTATAGACTAGACTATAGACTAGACTATAGACTAGAATATAGACTAAGACTATAGACTAAACTATAGCCTAGACTATAGACTAGAATATAGACTAGACTATAGATTAGACTATAGACAGTCTAGAATATACTATTGACTAAACTATAAACTAGACTATAGAATAGCCTGTAGACTAAACTATAGACTAGACCATATTATAGCCTATAGACTAGACTATAGACTTTAGACTAAACTATAGCCTAGACTATAGACTAGGCTGTAGGCTAGAATATACTATTGACTAAACTATAAACATGACTATAGACTATAATATAGACTGGGCAAAGCAATATTTTAAATTTTTAAGCATATTTATATTCTTTGACACTTGGATCTGCTGCCAAATAAAATAAAGACTTTAGTTTGCCGATTATTTCAGCTGTAATTTTAAAAAATATGTTCAAATATATTAAAAGATCATTTTAACCTTTAAATGTCCTTGAAAAAATAAAGATTTATCCGTTACTTTTACATAAACAAGAATTTCATAATCATAATGAAAACTTTCTCTCAGAAAAATTCTTATTTAAAAATGATATCACATTAAACCGTTATACCTTAATTGTAATGCAACAAAAAAAAATAAATTATTAAACAAAGAAAAAAAGTGAATTAATGAGTTTCAGTAGAATTATTGCAACCAAACAAAAAAAAAATATAAATAAATCATTTAAAAGAGACGAGAGAAAAAAATTTGTTTAAGCGGTTTGTGTAATAAGCAAAAAAATAATAAGAAATGAGATAAAGAAAAATTCAGACGATTTAATGATACCCTACTAAAGCAGTATAAGGCAGCGTTGATCTGAGATGGTAGGGATAAGAGCACAGCCCGATATTATTACGTAGCGGTTGAGGGACTTAAAATTTAAAATCTGAACTGAAAGAAAGAAGTTCTAATCAAAAAATTCTAATTTAAAAAGTTGCGTTTTAAAAAAATCAGAAACTCAAACTGCTATGAAACGAGGTTGGCCTTCAAAAGAATGAAATATATCAGTGTGAACGCAAAAATTATGAAATAAAATATTCGTTTGTAAACTTTTTTCTCAAAAATACCATGATTTAGTAGTTATTAGTCATATTCTGGTGTGTAGGGTAAATTTAATTATAATAATTATCAAAACCACATAACCTACATCAATATTTAGAACAACCCTGC